TATTTTCTTCTATTTCCAGGATGTACTACGTGGTAGGCCTCGTGGCCTTACTGGTTGCTCCAGTCAGTGGGGATCTATTCACCTCCGTAGCCGACATGCAAGGTCTGCTTGATTCGGAAAAGTCCATCCCATCACTTCTATACAAGTACATTGAAAGTGAAAAACAGCGGCTGGACGAGCTCAAACAGTATGTCCTTTTAGGATTTACAATTACAGATAGCCACCATAATTTCTGCAAATCTAGGTTGGCACAGCAGTACGACAAACGGAACGAGCAAGCATTGGCCACTGGCACCGCGGATATCTCCAACCCAATAAATGCCTTCGTACTCATCAAACAGAAGGTGAGTTCTTCTGCTCATTTTTGGCAGTGTAGTAAGGTAAGCGGTGGCGGTGAAGTGGTAAGTGGCGCACTACACGCACGGTTAGGGGTTCGAATCCCGGATTGATATCCGCGTAGGCCACCAACTGGGTTGTTCGGTTGTTTGGTACTAGACTCGTCTGAGAGGATAAAAGCACTGACTTGTACATCGGCTGGCCGACTCGTCTGAGAGGATAAAAGCACTGACTTGTACATCGGCTGGCCACTGGAAGTCATTGTATAGGCCACATACGCATTCAACACGCCACTACGATTCTGATAAGAAGTCGAATCCGTGGGCGCATCCCTCAGACGGGGTTGATTAACGCCCCAAGACTTTATCCTTTATCCTTTTTTTGTATGATAGGCCTGGTACTTACAGATCTTCGATTGGAAAGGCATCCAGAACAAAATGATGTTGAACAAGGCTGATTCGATCATCGAACGCATGGAGGATGCCAACTATGGTATCCGCTATCCAACAGAGGTTCGTACTAAATCATTTCCGCATGTTGTTTCTTCTGGTTGTTTTTTATTTATTTATTTATTTATTTATACACTCAATTGAGTGCGCCACAACTGCATAGTAGCAAATAAACCACCCGTCGCCACAGTACAAGTGAGATTAGGAAGGGAGAGAGGACAGAAATACCAATCTCTAGAACTGCAATGGAAGTGAGTTCAACGAAGAGGCCTCCATAGCCAGTAATCGCACCAGTTGGCCAAGGTGCCCTCATTCCGTAAGGAGTCATAGGACCAAGTCGGAACTTCGGCACACGGGTACGCCAACTTCCCTCGTGGAACCGACTTGTATGCTACTGGCTGAACGGCGAGATGTGAACTGTTGGGTCGGACAATGACCAAATTAGAAGCTTCGATATGGCAGACTCAGCAATGGTGGCGACGGACTCTTAGTTCAGGAACAAAAAAGAAGCTCAACGAAAGGAAAAAAAGAAAAAAAACAACAACATTCAAGTAAGGAAAAGGAAATAGGTGAAAGCAACCCATAGGCGGACACGGAAAGAAAGTGAGATTCGAGAGACAAGGCTATTAGGAGAAAAACGGCGACACAGAGATTCGTCAAGAGAATACAGAACCAGGATGCATGATCGCAGCACAAAAAAGAAGAAATATACATCCGAAAGACATGGAATGAAACTTTCAAGGCAACGAGAATAACCGGAGAGGAATTCCATTGGAACACGGTTGTCCCTACGTACCGCTACAGGTATAGCTGCTACCCGATCGATGTCGACGGCGAACTACCTCAATAAGACCTGTAAATGATGACAACATGATAATGAACAAGCTTACGAGTCGATTATCTGAGCTACATTTAAGGCCCTCAATTTGGCCTTGAAAATCTTACCATTACTCGATTGTAGCACCTCTCGCGGAAGCTTTTCAAGCCATCTTGCTGTACGGAAGAAGAAGGAATTAAATGTTAGGGCATGATTGAACCTTTTTATTCTTTTGCTTTGCAACGAGAAGCCGTTAGATCTAGCACTACTAGGCCGGAAGACCCAGTACTTACTAGCTTTGAGCTTGATTTCTTTGCGTATTATGCGAAAGCAGAAAACGAGATCACTTATGATACGTCTGTTCATTAAACTCATTAAACCAAACATTTTTAGACGATCTTCATAACTAGGTATCAGCCTGTACTCAGTGCCAGGGAACATTCTGAGGAACAAGATCCTCGTGAAAGTTCTCTGGACTTTCTCAAGTTTAGCAATATCCTTTTTAAGCACCGGGCTCCATACCTGAGAGCAGTATTCGAGATGAGGGAGGACATATGCCTTGTACAAGCGAATCAAAATTCTGTTGTCGTTTGTTAGCACATTGCGCAGGATGAGGAACAAAATAGAGAAAGCTTTGTTAACCACGCTGTCTATATGGGAAGTAAACTTGAGATCAGGACCGTAAGTGAGCCCTAAGTCCTTGGCAGACGAGCAACGAGCCAGCTTGATGCCACAAATTTCATAATCCAAAGGAGATCCTACACCAACGTGCAACACCGAACATTTCTTAAGGTTAATGGGAAGACGCCACAGCTCGGCCCACTCAGCCATCTTTACAAGAGAGCGTTGAAGGGATGACTGGGCTTCTTCCCGGTCCTCCGTACCATACGAGACATAGATCTTAATGTCATCAGCATAGATTTGTGTTTTGATGTAACTAGAAGTTGTTATGGAAGCTGGAAGATCAATTGTGTATATGAGAAACAGAAGGGGTGACAGCACGTTTTGGTGGTGTTTACAAGCTGCACCGTAAGCATAGCAACAAACTTGCTGGGAAGCGGGTTTCCAAAACTCGTCCATAGTTGGTAGACTTATGTCCGTCTTGTCCACTTCGTCAGCTCATATAAAAATAGTGAAGATGTGTCCTCATCGAGCCTATTCTGTCTCTACGCCGCATCAAGCTCATCCGTTTCCGTAATAACTCGCCCCTTCAACTTTTTTCCTGCGACTCTATCGAGTTGCGCTAGTGGACTAGTCGACGACGAGTTTTAATCCGGTCCTATGTCTCCTTCACAACTCTTCAACCAAAGATATTTGTCAGGCAGAGATTTCATTATGAACCATGCGGAATCTTGGTCAATACGACAATAGAATCGAATGAATGTGTTTGCTCTTTCGTTGTGATAGTCGTTGGGGGCAACTTCTGCTTATCCGTTTAAGTATCACAGAAATTATGATCAGAATAAGCTTCCC